ACATCACACTCTCTTTCCTCTCTACTGGGGTACGCATGCCATTGCAAGTAAGCAGTACCCCAAAAAAGATGCGTCAGTTCACTCTTCGTCGTCATCGGCGTGGGGCCCGGATTGTTCGATTAGTCCATCACGATTCGTCTCAGCGTATCAGCAACGATGGATTGGATCGGCCAGTTGAATGCACCTGTGGGAGACTAGGAGGACACCATCCTACTTGAACCACCTATATGCTCCACGTGAACAATGAAACAATGTTGATTTCATTTTGTATTAGCTTTTTCAATTCCTGTAATGCCGGTGAACGGAGAGGGGCATCCGGCATGAGCCAAAGAAAAACAAAGACGTTGAAATCACATGAAATTACAGTAACACCACCATAAAGCCTCATTTTTGTTTCTGTTCAAACCATCCATGTTCCCCGGCACTCACCATCATTCACCCAAACGGCATCTCCGCCTCACGGTGCTGGGTCCAATGGGCCGAGGTGAAGCAGAACTCAGATGGAACCAACTCAGTGTCGGAGACTCAAAGTCATCGATAAGCAACAACTTCCACAGATGAGCTGAGCAGCCACGATTTGGATGGTTTTAGATGTTTGCCCAACCTGTCAGGCGAGGGTGTGTCATGACGATGGTTGCCCTGCCTTCACCTTTCAGGGTGGGGATCACTTGAAGTAGAGCAATATTTTTCTGTCAGGGAACAAACGCCAGACACGTTAAGTTGGCAACAGTGAACCAGCCGAACTACCCCGACAGAACAAACACTGGCCCCACCTGGTAGCGAATAAGAGATGGACGAAGGCATGAATTGCTTCCGCTGAGGTTTCTGGCTAAGGTTTGTTGATAGAGGGTGTCGGTCCATGTTCCTCGATAGAGCTCCGGTCATTGTAAGGGACTCACATTTCCTTACTACTCTTTGGAACTCTCGGTTTGATACATCACGTGATCTACATACCGACCCGGCTACGGAACTTTCATGGACCCTCAGAGCTTCAAGGCGCCCGTTTCGGCCCGGACACGAGGCCGGGACTGACGGAGCGGCCCGTGAAGAGTGTGGAAGAGGTCTTGGAGTACATGAAAGAGGCGGGCAACGGGTCGACTGTCTCAGTTGGGAAAGATGGCGCTTCACTGGGGTGATTCGCAGATGTTCCAGAAAGTGTGGCACCCGGTTTTAGGAAGTGGATGGACCCGTCCATAGGAACAATTCCAGTTCACCAGGTCAAGCAGTGGTGATGAAAGGTGGACTAACACATACTAACACCATGGACTCCAACAAGCACACATGGTCCATATGGTATTTTCTTGTGCTAGATGGTCAATGCACAGTGTTTTCATCATCCTTCCTCAAATCACCTGAGCCCAAGTCTTGTCGTATTGGCCCCATCTATATTCTGATCGAAGGGTCCCCTGATTGAGCATGTATTGAAATCCAAAAACTACCCATTCGGGCTGCATATTTCAAAGAAACCTAGGGTTTTGGATGGGTTTGGGATGAAGTATAATAAGTTTGCCGAATCCAGGAAAGGTGATCGGCCCTGCTCCGTCAATGCAGCTTTTTCAACATCCGTAACATATGTTGAAAGTGCGAGTCTGAAAAAGTGATAGTAAGTAGGTTTTGTCAACAGCGAACACCTTGCTGAATCAGGTCCCCTTCATCAACCCAGCGGTTTCGGCTGACGGTTCTTCTTCAATCCTCGCCTTTTGTGGTTCTGTCCAAAAGTTCCAAAAGAAAGCCACCACCATGTGGTAATTATATATATATATAAACAATAAGCTACTAGGAACAAGTGCATCGCTTTTAGTAACAAGTGCCTTACTACTAGAAACAAGAAGCTAGTAGAAACAATATATAAATTAGAATATATATAAATATATATATGTATATTGATCATTATTGATCCATTTTCCCCAGGTTTCGTTGCACTCGGAGTGATGTCTCCGTCCAGGCACAAGCCAACCGCACGGTGATGGCCACGGAGAGCGAGCTGGGCAGAGCTGGGCGCAGCTGCGGGGCTGGTACCAAGCGGAAGAGAAGATGGATTTGAATTTGGACGAAACGGATGAGAATGGTCATCAGTTCCGCAAGTCCTCGGTTTTCTACGAATCTCTAGGATTTGGTATCCTATGTTCTTTTTTTTGCGGTATATGTATATATGTGATATGCCCAGAAGGATGCATTGGGGAGCATCAACTACATGTGATTTTTTGGTGGAATTTACCACCATAGTTTCACATTGTCGGTTGTTTTTTTCGGGTGTTCCGGCGGTTTCTGAGAACATGATCCTGATGTGTATACTGTACCAGTACACCTTTAAAGTGGGGCCGCCAAGCAAAGCTCCACCAATTGGACGTCGCAGACACCAATAGGTTTCGTTCGGAAGACACGACACACTGAAACCCGGGACGACATGGTTGGTTCACGTGGACCTCTCTCGACTAGACCTCTCCAGGTTTTGACGGTTCCAGTTATCGGTTTCCAGACAGTGATGGTTCAAATGTTCAAGAATGCTGTGCTGAGTGAATGTTTCGTTTCTTTCAGTACACATGACATATGGCAAGTAGGGACTATTGCAAACCATTCCACCCTCTAGTGCTTTCAGGGCACCAGAGAACTCTGTGCTTGTTTCGACCCCTTACCAGGGTGGCTGCCGCATCGGCAGGACATGAACGATGAGTCCAGCCGTTCTCACTCCATTGTGCAGGTTCCGCCTGGTGAGTCTAGGTGGTTTAACCGGTTTTCTTCGACCACTTGTTCCTAGTAGAAAGGCCAGGAGCTACTAAGTAGCGTCCTTGTTCCTAGTAGCAATGCCCTTTGCTCCTAGTAGCGTCCTTGTTCCTAGTAGCAATGCCCTTTGCTCCTAGTAGCGTCCTTGTTCCTAGTAGTAAGGCCAGGAGCCCCTAGTAGCTTCTTGCTCCTAGTAGCGATGCCCTTAGCTCCTAGTAGCGTCCCTGATCGTCCCTGTTCCTACACATAGAGTTGATGGGACCAGTTCTTTGCACCGTCCGGTGACCGTCACATTCACCTTCCGCTTTGTGCAACGGTCCGGTCTTCGATCATCGGATGAGTGATGGGATGATCAGCGGACCGGATCCACATGACACATTCCGAATCGTTTGAGAGTCGTGGTTTCCATGAGAAGGGACATTTTTAGTCTTTTTGCTACAGAGGTCACTGAACCAGGGCAGTGATTCCTGAAAGGCTAGACTGTGGGGACATGACTCATTGATGAGGAATCCGTCGCCATCCAAAACTAGATTCGATGAACCTCCAGCACCACGACATGGAACAAAAACGGATGCAAGTAGCCAGACATGATCCACTTTGCAATGCTCGGGATCCACTGATTGGGAGATCCCCAATTCCACTCGCTGGGGATCTCGTGATTCGATCGGATCGGATGGGTCAGGTGAAGACGGTCAACGTCGGAGCGCCCGATGACTGACGAGGGGCGGATTGCCGAGGTTTGGGCAGGCTTGGGGCAGAAGTGCTGGAAGAATACACGGTATAATATTGTATACACAATTATACATTCCAGGCGCAGGTATGATATTTTTTCTGGGACTCTAGCATTTGAGGCGAAGTATTCCTGGGAGGATGGTTGAACTGGAGCTAAAGGCATACAATGACATCCGCAGGATGGTCCGCTGAGAAGTACGATTCTGTAGGATCAACCTACTTCGCACATTCATGAATCTATTGGATTTCAGGCATAGTTGTTGCCAGTCGTTGCCAACACCTGAGTCCAAGACCCAAACGGCTGTTGACGCCAAGACACACACGCGCGCGGATGCCGCTCAGGTCAATCGAAAGGACCAGACTCAATACCTCGGGAAGATCAACCTCATCGATTTGGCAGGCTCCGAGAATGTGAACAAGTCTGGCGTGCAAGGCCGGGCCGCAGTGATTGAACCAAAAAGGAAAGAGGATGGATGATGGATGATGGATGATGGATGATGGATGATGGATGATGGATGATTGATGATTGATGATTGATGATTGATGATTGATGATTGATGATTGATGATGATGATGATGATGATGATGATGATGATGATGATGATGATGGGAACATATAGTTTCACAGGATGAGAGAAGGTATAGAGTTGGGGAGAGTAGGGCCAAAGTTCCAAAATCAATGGGTTCTTCAGATGCAGATCCTATATGACCCATATATACCTACATGATCCTATTATCAAAATATATATGTTCTTGCACACCACGAAGAGCCTGCGGACCGCATCAATGAACCACCATTCACCGCATGTGCTGTGCTAGGACAGGGCATGCGTGAGGCGGGGGAGCTGTGCAGGAATGAGCTACTTCAACGGGCTGGGAAGTATCTTAAAGCAGCTTGTCTTGCCTTGTCACTGGACAATATACCCCTTGCAACAACTATTTATAGTTTATAATGTAGACAAAACCCACACCAGAATGAAAGACAACATCTCCAATTCGGGAGGACTACAGAGTTCATCCACTGGATAATAAGCTAATGGATTTACCGAACTCTCAAAGTGTGTCTCCTTGTAGGTTGGAGGCCATCGCTCTTAGGTTGGGGGCCATTGCACTTAGGTGCCCTTGCTCGTTTAAGTGAGCTAATGGATTTACCGTTTGGTTTTCGCTTTGTCCAGTGGAGTCCGGTTCTGGCTCACATGCCCGGGGCGAGCGCCCTTTCTCGCGCGAGCTTCGAGCGCCCTTTCTCGGAAGCAAACGGGGCGACATCAGGGCTCAAACGCTGTTTGAACATGATTGAACTATGTAAATGTTTATTTTGTTCGCATTTCACTAAACTACTATTTTGTTCACATTCGTATACATTTGTTGTATTTTGTGCACATGCTTCAAAAGACATTCACATCACCTCGGTGTGCGCAGAGTTCTTCACTCGACATGCTTGCGGTTGTAGCCATTTGAAAGACCCTGCAGTGAGCCTTGCACATCATTCTATTTTTCAGCCATTGTTCAAGACTGAAGACCCTGACTCATAATCGCACATGTCTCAAAGACTCAAAGACCCTGAAGTCTCGCGCTTTTCCCATGGCCACCTTGATTCTGGACAGCGATGAGGAAGAGGATGTGGTCATTCTCTCGGAACTCCCAGCGCCGAAACCAACGAAGCTGGCCCCATACCATGCTACCTTGGGCGTTTTCGGTGCTGCTACAGATACAGCCCGGCACTATATAGCACTATTCACTTGGCTATTGTTTTGGGGGGATCACCCAAGGGATGATTGAAGATGTTGTTTGTATTGATTCTGCTCTTTTGTTGGGCTGGCTGCAGTTGCAAGGTCTTTTGAGTCTGTTGATGGTCTGATGTTTGATTCCATCCAACAGCTGCGGGCTAGAAAGGCTGCGAAGACATGCCCAGAAAGTCCCAAGGCAGTTGGAACCCTCAGGGCAAGGTCTACTGACATAGAATCTTCATGAATCTTCTGAATTTAGCCATGTATATAAATGTGCATTAAAAACACATCTCTAGCTAAACGAACGGCTCACCTCCATAGGTCTCACCATAATGCCATAGTTCTTGGTCTCCAGCTCTACAAGGTCTCCATGTCTCACCTCCTCGCTCTCCGGCTCCATGGGTCGAGAATTCTCAGGAAGCTGACGAAGAGTAGTAACAAGAAGCTAGTAGTAACAGGTGCCACGCTAGTAGTAACAGGTGCCTTACTAGTAGTAACAAAAAGCTATTAGAAACAAGTGCCTTACTAGTAGTAACAGGTGCCTTACTAGTAGTAACAAAAAGCTCCGGCTCCATGGGTCGAGAATTCTCAGGAAGCTGACGAAGGTTCAAAAGAAGCGACTGAAAGAGAAGAAGCGCAGAGAGCGCAAGAGGCTCGAGGGACCTCTCAGGATGGTGCGACTGGAAGAGATGGACATACATCCCACAAAATCCTTTTTACTTAAAGGGGGGGTAGGCCGTAGAGGTAGCAGCTATAGGGGTAGCTAGTAGTAGCTATAGGTAGCTAGTAGCTTAAGTAGCTACTAGTATGGACGCAGGATAGCTCACGCTTCTTCAAGGAAGCCCCCCCCGCCAGAGGGCGGGGGTGAGCTTCCTTGAAGAAGCGCTCGCACTAATGATTTGGTTCCTAGATATTTTCACTGCTGCTCAGGGTCGTCCGGTGCTGTTATAGATCCTCCCAGAGGCATGAATATCTGAATTTCAAGAAGTTGGGTTTTGGATGGTGTTGGGTGTAGATGCGTGATTGTAGAAATTGATTCCATGAAATGAAACGGATGCGACAGCCCTCACCACAAAATTCCTCACTCAACTCCCAAAGATGGCTTGTGGCTTTTAAAGTACCGGTGACTCCTCAACCCGGTCGGGTCGGCCATTGGGGAAAAGACTCATGTTTGCTACCCTTGCCATTGTGCAGCGGGCGGAAGCCAAAATCTGTAGGTGTGACTTATGTGACGTTATGATAATGCGTTGGTGACGTGGTACGTCCTGTTGTTATGTTGTCATATGTCCTGTTGCAGTGACGCTATGTGAGGCTTGTGTTGGTCGATCGTTTGTCAATTAAGTCTCACGTTGATAATGTGATGTGTGTTGATATGCTGTGTAATTACTGTAATGGTTTGTAAAACCGACCAAATAGGCTTGACAATATACACTCACATTCTGTACTTTCTTTAGGAATCTTGCTACTTTCCACTGCTTTCCTCTAGAAATCTACACATACCTGTACATGAGAAGTGTGAGAGTCGAAGTCGAATTGCCGGATTAAGGTTGAAGAAGCAGAAGCAATCTGAAGCTGAAAAGGCGAAAGAATTGGCCGTGAAGGCGAAGGCTGCGATGGAGACCTTGTCCGAGGGTTGGTGCGGTGTCCCGGTGTCCGGGAAGGTAGCAAAGTGAACCTCACCCCAGCATCTCCCCTTGTAGGATGCTTTATTGAGAATAGTTATCATGCAACATGTCAGAGACCTCCGTTTTCTTTGCTCGCTTCGTAGCATGATTGGACGTAATTAGACGCTGAACAGCACGATTTGCTTGTTCTAACTTGGTCTACATTTTGAAGTATGCTCCAATCCCAGAACTTGTAGCTGGGCTTTCTTTTCGGTTGGTGAGCCGGTGAGCCAGTGAATGTTTTTCATGCACGTTTGGACAGTGCTGTCAGTGCGAAACAGGATAAAAGCGAGTACATGGTTTCTCTTTTGCGTACCGTGTTGGAAAGATGCAATTCTAGACAAAATATTTAACCTGCATGAAGCAGCTAAAGGGTCTGGAAGTGTCTTGGAATCTAAGGTGACATCTCCATGTCTCTCCGTTTGCTCCAACTCCCTTTTGATTGGACTTAAACTTTTTAACATAGTTCAATCATGTTCACAATGAATTAATTAACATGCTGGTAAATAATTGTACATATATATATATATAGATATCTGTCTACATGTATGCAACTAGCTGATCATGACACATGTTTTAGAGGTCAACCCCATATAGCATACAACATCCTACAACCAACTTCCTGTTTTTGACCGCACATATACTAATATACGTATAAGTATACAGAAGTGGTAAACTCGCTAGACCATGCGAGGGGTGACTTTATACATGCACTTGTTACCAGTAGTAGCTTCTTGTTACTAGTAGTAATGCACTTTTTACTACTAGCGATGCACTTGTTACTATTCAATATCATTGGAGGTTCACGCGCGAAGACCACACACCGCAGGCGCCCCCGGCGAAGCCAAAGCCGCCGACCAAGAAGGCCAGGTCGACCGCAGCGGCCGGCGCTCCCAGCGAAACGGCGGCCGTGGTGAGGGAGCTTTGCCGCTTGGCGAGGGAAGAAGCGACGTGGAACAGACCAAGGACCGTCTTTATTCGTCGTGTGGATTGATATTTCGGAGTGTAAATGGTTGCAGGGTGGTGATGCTTGTATCTTGACTACACAATCCGTATTCCCGTCAATTCCCCATGTAAGTTGGTGATTTTGGGTCACTATATCCTTTCTGGGGAATCTGGCCCACCCCAACGAATGGCCCTTCTTGAATGGGACATATAGCTATTCTCAAAGGTGGACTGATTGCCTCAACCTGGTTTCACCCAAAACCCTAGTTTGGAGTTGTACTATACATGCTTTCACTCGCAGTCATTTTGTTTTGTCTTAAGATGGCATCCATCTATAGAGCCCAGACCCCTTTGCTCGTGTTGGATCTTATCTCCCCTTCTTTAGGGACGCCCCCCTAGCGACCTTCTACACTGAGGCTATCGTGTTCGGACGGCCGGAGACTATCCAGCGGCCCTTTGCGCGGAATGCCGACGTCCACTGGATGCGCAGGGGCGCGATGTGGCGGTGGTGGAAGTGGAACGACCCTGGCGCTTTCGGCAGAACGAGAGACTCTCGAGTCGTCGTGTCACCGGACGAGTCGTCGTGGTGTCTTCGTTGACAAAGGAGAAACAGGTTGTGACACGAGAAGAACACCAAGCCAGTCTCTCAGTGTTGAATTGAAAGAGATGTTGAATGTTTGCATGTCTTTATTCGTCATGTGTTCACTGGCCATACCGGATCAGGTATGAAAAATTGAGCTTTGGTGGATTAACAGATGTTGTTGAACCAAATATTTCAATTCTGACAGTTTGTTGCTTTTGTGACATTTGTGTTTCAATGTAGATTGTGTGCCAGAACCCTCAGGGAACCCTCAGGTTATAGAGCCAGACTTGTGGTTCCAGAAGTTGGCAGAACTGAAGGGAATGTTGTGCTTGTCCTTTTCACTAGGAGCCAAAAACGGCCAAAAAGCAACACACTAGACCGGAAACATACCAGCATGGTTGTATTGACAATTGAAGCCAGAACTGATGTACACACTGATACGATCTTGATCTTACACATAGTTGTATCAAGTTGCAACAGTGTTTCTCTTCTGTTTTTCCCTCCTCTGCTGATACAGAGGCTTCGGGAGCCCTGCCTGGTGCATGCACAGTTGTGCTGTTTGGCAGCGGCTGGCTTGCTTCATCCGGCACGCCCAAGCGAGCTGACTCAGCAGCTTGGTGGGCCTGGCTGGGCGGCAGCCGTTCAGGTTGAGCGCAGGGTGGGTGTAGCTGGTTGAAGGCGCTTCAGGCCCTTCAGGCCGAAGTGCGTCATTTTTTTTCAGGGCATAGTAACAAGGTTCGCTACTAGTAACAAAGGGCATCGCTACTAGGAGCAAGGACGCTACTAGGGGCTCCTGGCATCACTACTAGGAGCATTCTTACTATTAGTAACAAGAAGCTACTAGGGGCTCCTGGCTAAACTCCTGACTCCAACGACCGGAGCTGAACCCTTTCGGCCTTTCGGGTGGACCTCTGGACCCTCCACTGAGGCGGCGTCAGCTCTGGGCCCCGGCGGGGCTGATCCAGCGGCCCATGGAAGTAAGGCACCTTGGCTCTACAGAAACTAAGACGCTAAGACTTGGAACAGAAGGTGATTCAGAAATTAGCTCCAATTCAGAAACTGTGAGGTATTCCTTTGTTTGTTCTTTTTCCTGATTTCATTCTCAAGTCAGGCGTAGTGTTTGTTTCAAAGGAGACTGCCCAAGGGGCACCCAAAGTACAGTCTTCAAAGCCGATACACCTGATTGTACATTGCATGGCCCACCGGACCAGGCAAGCGTGAATAGAGAAGTGGAGTCTAGTCAGTTTCTGTCGCTTTCTATCCTTCCCACGCACATTGGCATTCAAACATATTCATTTACAAGTAAAAAGGGTCTCCCAGCTACAAACTGTACACAGACATGACATACCATAAATTTCACAGAGATGTTTCTGCATTCTTTCATGAAACATTCCCCATGGACTGTAGCTGTTGGAACATCCAGTTCAGGACCAAGACCTTGCGCAAGCACTGGCCTTGAAGCAGATTGCACCGTTCAAAACACATGCGTTGGAGACGTTTATATAGTTGAGCCATGTTGAGCCATCCCGAAAGACGTTCTCACACCATCACCGTGTATGCTATCTCATGAGCATTACCAGAGAAGTGTCAACCATCCAGAACTCGAAGATTTTGCAAATCCCTTTCCATCTTTCCCCACCTGCCTCCGCCCACTTCAGTGGTCCTCTTCGCCGTCCTAGGACCAGCACTGAGACCCATGGCGTCCTTCGTTCCATTGGCCTCGCCCCGCGTGCCCGACCCGCTCGGCCGTTGCGACCGGCCGCGGACGGCGAGCGTGTGGCCCGTGGCGCCGGGAGTGGGGTGGATGCAAGGTCCTTGGCTGCTCGATGACGAATGAGTGGATGGATGATGGATCAGGATTGTGGCAAGTCATGGCAAGTCTATGATGTTCATGAATTGTGTAATGTTTGCATGTTGATAAACAGTTCAAACTTTATTTTGGCTCCTGTGCTTGGAAGACAAACAATATCAAACAACTGCATTTGGTGGAGATCTGCAGGATCTGGCATAGTCTGAATCTGCCGGGCGCAGACCAGCACATTTCAAGGAAGGTACAGGGCCGTAGGCACAAGCATCGGGAGGTCTCAAAAGGACGCTTTGAGGCAACCTGCTAAAAGGATCCTGCCTTCACATTCCTAGAACCTCTGCAAATCTCTGCAATGATGTCAGGACTTACATTGATCAAGGTATGTATAGGCCCGTATAGGCTCCTGGGTGTCATCCAACCATTCCCAAGGCCTCTGCCCGGCAGATGGCCGTGGCTGCCGCCCTCCGCGCGGTGCGCCGCGCAGCCGACGACGCGGCGGGCATCCGCCGCCCGCGGCGTGTGGCGGCGACGGCGACGGCCAAGTCGTCAGCTCTGCTGGAGGCGCTGCTGGAGGTGCTACCGCCGGCGCAGCATGCGCATCGGGAAGACATCCCCAAGGGAGCCTTGGTTTTCCGGGTTGGGATCGGAGGATGGGGTTTAGACAGGGTCAATGGATCTGGATGCGCAAGGGTTTGGACAGGATTCAAGTCGGACTGTTGAATGTCTTCGAATTGCTGGAACGTCCATGGACCGTTGTTGAGGTTTTGTGCGGGCCGAATCTGGCTTCCGAGGAGAGTACTGCGCGATTTGCCACGGGAAGCTCTTCAAGAGGTCTCGAAAGATACGGTCCTTGCCATGTGGTCACACGCGCCTTGGTGTCATATGATGTCATATTTATGAGCTTTTCCATGTTTCAGGTGTTGGGCATTTTTGTTCCGTGTTTGGTCCAAGCTGTTGTTGCAGCAATACTGCTTTGGAAGACATCCCGCCGTTCCCTCTCGTTTTGCATGAGCAAACTGTTGGGATTCCTCGGAGTTTCAGCATTGACATGTAAACATATGTAAAATATGCAAACATATATACTTACAGTAAGTAACTTCCTGTATCGAATATACTGTATATATATATATATTTTACTGCATAAATAAATACATACATATATAATATACATTAAACGGATCATATTGACCTGCGAACTGCAAACTCAGACTATGGCGGGAGTTATATATCATGTTATATCCACAATCACAATACAATCACACGACTTTGCAAGACTCCTCGTAATGTCATGCTCCAAGAGACTCCAGACGCTGTGTAGCAAAAGAGCTTTTGTGCTCGGAGACTCCTGCATCAGCATCCGCTTGTGCTCGAGGTTTCACGACTCCTGCATCCTCCCATGGCTGTCGAAGAGGGCGACTTGCCCGTTGGACCGCAGTGACTTCAGTGATCTGCTGAAAGAAAAGTGAGCGACCATGTACCAACGAAGGGTGGGACCCTGTGTGAACGACTGGTGGGACCCTGGTCCAGGGATGACCCTGATCCTTCAGAACCAAAGACTTGATGGCGCGCACCTCTAGAACTGGGAAATCAGTTCGCTTACTCAGTGACACAAGATGGGGTCAGAAGCGGTTTTGGCCCAAACTATGGACATGCAGAGTCGTTTTTGCCCGGGTAGGCAGTCATTTGAACAGCTGTGTCAAGCAGCTTGGTGTCTTCGTTTACGGCAGCTAGCACAACAGCTGTTTGTGCTTGAGACTTAGAGCTGGATCACCCAGAAAGCAAACAGGGCTCTTGAAACCGAGCTGAGGGAAGCACACGGAGCAAAGCAGAGAAGCTCAGCTCGCTCTTCAGGCGCAGAACATCAACAAGAGCCTGCTGGCGCTGGGTGATGTGATCGCCTCAGTGGATTTTCGGGCCAAATCAGACTGAGAGTCAGGGTCATGGCCGAAAGTCCCATTGCTGCTAGTGGTGAAGACGATAATTATTTCAGCCAGGAGTTGCGGGGGGAGAGATATTGTATGCGATTGTACTATAAGAAGAGGGACATGGCCCATATTCTTGTGAATCAGTTACATTAACGCTTCTATGTCATCATATGACATATTATGTTTCAGGACGGTTTTGGCTGTGTGTGGCTACAAGAGCAGCATTTTGTTTGCATGACACGAGTAGTAGTGGTACTCATCTGCTAGTGATACAGTAATGCAGGGTTCAGAGCAGATGGCACAACCCTTGACACTGTTTTTAGATGGGCCAAGAATCAAAGTTCAGCGACTTGTGCTATCTTTCCAGTTGTCAGTATAATTGGGCAAAGTAGGCCGATTGTGCCAAGAGCTCGGTCAGGTGGTTGCTGCTTTGCAGTCCAAGAATGGGCATGTGCCCTTCAGGCACGAGTCGCAGACGAAATCAGGAACTCTCTCTCTCTATACATATACTGCATGGGTACAGACCGGTATAGATCACATGGGAGTTAAGGCATCAAGTTAAGTGACATAAGGAATAGAGTAGTTAAGTCCTATGTCATGTCAAAAACATGTTAAACCCGTTGTTGTCGTTTTCACATTCCGGTCGCTGGGAAGCACACACCTGGTTGAGCCCTTTCCCTCAGTGGACATTTTGTTTAGCACATGTTGCAGTTCCTATTGACTAAGCCTGTGAGTAGTCCCCTAGTCGTTCCTGCAATGCATCGCCTTCAAGCCAGCGGTCAGGAATTCCAAGCTGACCATGATGCTGAAGGATGGCGCGCGCGAGAGAGAGAGAGAGAGACTGCGAAAAAAGACATGGCTTGTTCTTCGGATGTATGAGGCCAGATCGCCAGGACAACAGCTGGAGGTTCTCCAAAGGTGATCCGAATGGTCAAGGTATGTGTGTTTCAGAGAATAGATGTGTCCAGCGATATGTCAACAAAGGGGGAGGTTGTGAAGGCTTCCCTTCAAGATATGGAGCTGCCTCAACTTGGGCATCCCTTCGTCACCCCGCCATTGTTGTTGGGAGTGATCGTTATTCTTTCTTTTTTTGCGGGGGTGGGCGGGGAGAAAGATCTATCAGCATCACCTCATCGCCTTTGAGATGAGACACTTCTGAGGACTCCCTTGGAGGCGATTCAAAGACGCTGATGATTGTGCAATGCAGTCCTGCGCGGAGCCTCGGTCGGGACTCGCACGGCAGGACACAACGGAGGTTCCAAAGCGATGGACATCCTTAACTCGAGCACTTGCCTACTTGGCCTACTTGCTTCACTTCTGGAATGAGCACCCCTGCTGCTCCACACCCTGTTTTGAGAGACTCCCAAACATCTTGAGTCGCTGAAAAGGAAAGTAGATGGATTGTGGGACCCATAAGACCTTCAGACCCACAAGCTTTAGTCTATTAATATCTATTTAAACCTTTTACCAAGGGGTTTGGATGGTACACACAGAAAGTCATTGACAATCCATTGGTTGGTGCTGAGTCCCCCATTTGCCAGGATCCCAAAAGCCGGACCGCCCCCCCCAGCTCAACCGGAGCATCAATGACAACCCCGTGAAGATGGGGCTTTGTCCATTTTCAGACATTGCGTCGTCGTCATGTCATGTCCACCGCCTTGAAACGCGTGGTGCCGCACCACGAAAACGCCCGACGCGAGCGCGCTTTTTATTGATGTAACGTCACCACCAGGCGCAGCTGAACGTCACCGAGACGATCAGCTCTTTGACCTTCGCCAGCAAAGCACGAAACGTTGAGTCCGGGGCACCCGGCTGCGACGTTCATTTCACGAGAAGCGAGGGACGCACCGAACGGGTGGTCGAAGTAAGCGAAGCACCGAACGGGTGGTCTACCAAAGTGTCTCAAACAAACTGGACAAGGGAGGAAAGATAGTAGTTACTTAAGTAATCTTAAGTATATAGTTGGATGATTAGTTCGGATGACGATACCTTTGGGTGAAGGCTGAAGGAGGCCGAGTTAGTATTCTGTGGCTGGTTTGGGCACCACCAAGCAGCCTTTTCCCACCATTACCCTTGCCAAGCATGTTACGGACATCTTACACCTGGGAAGAGACCCACATGCAACCTGAAGATGGACCTTTGGAAGACTATCCTCCTCTACAACCCAGTGGTTTTCAGGTTCCAATGTTAATTTTCCAGGGTGTAGAATCGATTTCCACAGACTCCTTGCCCTGATGCTACCTGCTCCAACTGCCGACTGTTCCAGTGCAACATAGTGCAAAAATTAGTTTGCGATACTCTCGATGTCCAGATTTTGCCTACACCAGGAATCTATGGTGCACTGTAGCATTCTGCGTGGCTTCATGGTCCACAACTGTGAAACCTTGGAATTGGTGCCTGTAGCATTCCTTTGCAATAGGCGACAATAAGTTGCTTCAAAATGAACAACCCTAACAAGCATGCTTCCCTGGTTTGCCCCTTCACAGTAGACACCCATATTGTGGAGCACATGAGATGCGTTCGGGTTCTCTCGCTTGGTGCAGATCGCCAGGCTGGGCAAAGCCAAGCGCAACGTCTTGAGCCCCTGACGAGATACACAACCTGGCCTGGGAGGATTTGTTGTTTGCTATGTTGTTCAAAACATCAATATCACCTAGAGTGTCACTGGACATCGCAAAACATGGTTGGCATTCAACTTAAAATTTGCAGCCGCATTTTCACACGAAGTATCACAGAGTGATCCACCAAAATGATGGGGTATCCCAAATACCAATTGAGCTTCGTTTACATACTGTTTTGGCCTACCAGCCCCGCTCATTTGAGAGACACCCATGTAGAATATTCACCTTAAGCTGTTCATTGTAAAATCCAGCAGGAGAGCACAAAAGAGCACCTGCCTTTCTTGCCGAGGAAGCTGCCCTCGACTCGAAGGTATCATGTTAAGGGGGAGCATGGTACGATGAGGCTTCGTTGGTCCGACTGCTGCCAAGGGCACGCTTGTTGGAGTTGGTTTACCGGCACCGGCTTTGCTTTTCCAGCTGTTAGCTGCCCTCCTGACAAGAAGATTTTACTTAGAAATGGTAGCCTCCCTTCAAGAAACATGCAAGTGGCACATGATGCGCATGGCCCAAGGAAGACGACTTTCTTCATGTTTTTGCTCTAGAAACTGAGCTCATTGCACGTCGATGGTCGATGCGCTGGCTGTTGCACTGTTCCGGGCAAACTGGGAAACAAGCTCATCAAGCTCAGAGGCACACGATTTGATCGGACACAAATGATTTAATCCGACCGCTTCCATAGTAATGAGCCCCTGCCTGGGTGTATGAACGCTTCGCTGTTTTGTGGTGCCTGGCAGTACTAAGTACACAATGCAATTGATAAACCTCTGCAACTGAGTTTCGGAGGAGACCCAGATCAGCACAATCTCTGCTCCCAAGGTTCCCTGCTTCTGACACAAGATCTATCTCTCTCTCTCTCTCTCTCCTTCTCTCTCTGGGCACTGGTTCTTGGTACCTTTGTTCATGGTCTTTTCATGTCTTGGTTTCACCGGTACTGAAACCGCACCGGGCCTCGCAACTCAGGTGAAGGCGGGTGAAGCATGAGGAACGAAGGGAACTCTGCCACTGATCCATGGGATTTGAGAGTTGAACGTATCACTGGAAACTGGGAAACAGATTGAAACAGATGAAACAATCTTACAGATACGGTGGAACACCTGTCTAGCGTTCTTGATTCATATTGATTCCATCTTTGGCGCTCATCCAGTTCATCATCATAGGCTCCTGGGGGGCCACTTGGGGGGGCCAACACTTCTGACTCGTGGCCAGCACTCCTTATGACCTCCATGACGTTTTCTCAGCCGGGTCAACAGTTTTGCCATGAACATCCAGAGTTCATCTGCAGTTCTTGACCGGCGACCGCCAACACATAGGGAGAAATAGTACGGGAGACACCAGGGTCCTTGTCGCCAAGAGTTGTTGTATGGAGCTCCCCTCCCCACAACATGGAACTTTGATTGGCCACACAGTGGTAACTGGCATACTAACAATGACCTAACCTTGTTTTGGTTCGAGGTAATAGGAACAATCCTTTCACTCTATTCTAGTCTATTCTGCTTGATATTCATGGTGCATGTGGTAGTGCGATTTCTTACACCATAAGACTTGTGTAGAGAGGCGTGAAATCCCATGGATTCTTAGAGGGTTCCAGCCCTTGCCGGGGCAACGCACAGCGCCGACGGCGGCGCTTAGCAAGCGCCATGTCTATGGCGCTTGCTGAAAAGCCACGGGTGAGTTTGGACAGGTCCAAGAGTAACCATTTGGAATGCCCAACATCAAGTTTTTGCACATTGTTTGGGCCAAACTACTCACGCCCAACCAGCGAGGCCCCTGGAACTGGTTGAAATAGCAGTTGCCAAAAAAAACACCGGCAAAAGGGACAGGTCGGCACAGTGACTGCAGGTTGCGGCTCTGACCTAGGTTGAGGCTAGAAGGATGAGTCAGACCTGCCAGTATGCGAAGTACGGAGCTAGATGGATGCCG